CCTCCAGGCTAGGAGCGTGAACCGTTGCTTCGATAGCGTAGACGGCGTCGAACGAGTTGTCTGGGAAAGACATTTGCTGAGAGCGGACGGTTAGTCGATCCAGTGATTAATGAGGATTGGAAATAAGGGTAGTACGACTAACCATGAAGTCTCCCTTGACGAACTTCAGCTGGCTCGCCAGACCTTCCTTGGTCGCGTAGTGGGTTGCTCGGTCGATCTGGTAGTCGTTGTTGTTCAGACCGGTGACGTGGCAGCCAGTGAACTTGGCGATTTCGCGCGCAGGTCCACCAACACCACATCCAACATCAAGAACCTTCATGCCCTCCTTGATGCCGATCTGGTGGGCGAGGTAGTGCTCATGACGAGCAATCGCCTGGTAGAAGGGCTCGCCGTGAGAGAAGCGGCAAAAGTGGAAGGACTGGCCCCAACCATACTCATAGAGGTCGGTTGCAAGGTTGTAGTAGCTGAAAAACGGCGAGAGTTAGGCGGCGTCATGATTTGGAAGGCATGTGGGCATGTGAGCATCGTGAACGTACTGTCTGGTCAAAGTCGCGTACTCGGCTGTTCTAGACTAAAGGAGAATAGCTGGTCAGTCTATGCTTAATCGCAACGTCCGGGCGTGGGAACTCGACATACGGCTCGCTCCTCAGCGGTCTCGTCCTTAGCGGCCTTGTTGTCCCAGTGCTTGAAATACTCGTCGACAGCAGCCTGCTTGGCATCGCGGCCCTTGCTGAACATGGCAGCAAGACCACCAGTCGCCTTTGCACTGTCACCGTGGAGGGCCTTGTTGAATTGGGCATCGCGAGCGTGATCCTCGCGCTCGAGGTTGTTGCTCGTTGAGGAAACCATGACGGATGTTGAGGTTTACGTAGGAGAAGCTGATGCAATCACTAGACTGTGAGCGACGAAATTTCGACAAAGTTGAGAACTTCAGTAGGAGGATGGAAGAGAGAGCAAGAGAGTGAGAGAGCCAGGATTCAGTAGCTTCGCATTAATGGGTGAGCGGGGGGTTTGGGCTTTTTCTCTCTTTTTTTTTTCTTTTTTTCTTTTTTTCTCCCCTTCTCCCCTTGTCGGCTTGGAAAGGAGAGCGGCGGGCGAGTCGAGGCTGGCATGGGAGATTGTTTCTCTCTGTTTTGGCCATGTAAATTTCACTTCCGCGCCCACGCCCACCAACACTGTGACCGCCTCGGTAGGTCAGGTAAGGTAAGGTGTGGTAAGGTACATGTGTACAGCAGCGAGATAAGGCAAGTTGCAAGGTACATTGCTGGGGGGGGGGGGGGGGGGGTCCCACTTGACCGACTAGCAGCAGCATCCGGATGGCCCTCTAAACATTTAGATGCTCTCAATACCTCATTGCTAAGAAGAAAGTGCGTCTCCTGCCACCCAGGAGACTACTACTACTAGTCGGGTATCCGTAGGTGGCAGGGTGTTACGTGAAAGTGAAGGTGAGATGTTGATGCAAGGGTCCCCATCTAACAGACGCCTAACATCCAACCACGTACCACGAATTATTTGGTGCTGTCCAGACCAAGTTTCCCGGCAATTGACCAATAAACATTGGACATGGGCGTGTTTTGTACCTACCTTAGCAGTACTGCTTCACATTGGTTCAGCAGGCGATGGATTCACGGTGTGACGGGCAGTAAATGCACGCCGGCTCGGACAATAGAGCAGGGACCCGGGGTTGGCCTGTTCAAGCCGAATACGAACTCGAAGCCTCATCTCACGACAGGAGGGTGGCCATGCCGCCACGTCGCGCTGGCATGTGCCAGCCACTTCCTCCAAGTTGTCCATGGCCTCCTCTTTGCTCTTGGCCTGCCCGAAGGTTTATCTCGTTATCCATGGGGCTCAGAATTATGCAGGCTCCCGAGCATGCAGAATGAGCCGCGAGGGTCAGTTAAAGCCGGCACGTTCAAGTGCTTGACGCGGCGCTTCCAAGCGGTAAACATAAGAGCATGCCATCCACCTTGTTTCGTCTTCGTTAGAACTGATATCGAAAGTCGCAAGTCTGAGGATGGGACCGGCCAGTAAGCAGTGAAAAGCACATGATCTGAACGGTGCATCAAGTCGCAGGTTCGTCCACTTACCACGTACCGGACTTGCATGCTGTGCAGCAGTGCTGGGAATTGCAGCAATTATCACATATAGGGGGCAAAGACACTGCTAGGTCCAAGACCACGAGTGACAGACGCAACCGATGCAGAGACTGTCCCGACCTACAGCTCGGCATATGTATTTCACGATCTAGGCGTTGAACAGCTTTTTCAGCGAACGTCGCAGCAGAAAGCCACAGCGCCTTTTCAGAATGTACTCAGGATAATCAACAAGCATGCTCACAGCAATGACATGGTAGGCGCTTCTTTCGCAACCTGAAATTGAGGTTCTATTTCTTCAGGCAAGAAAAAAGGGTAGATCTGAAAAGCTAAGGCGTAAACGTGTTCCACGGTAAGGTTTAAATCGTCGCTACAGAATCACTAGATGATTTGGCAGGTCACGTGCTTTTGGCTGATAAGATACCAGAGTGAGCGTCACTGGGGTATCCTTGCCTCAGGTACCTCCCGAGTTCCGTTCCCCAGCCGCATAACAACTTCTGCCACCTCGCCGCCACAATCAGTCTTCCTACGACATCCCCCCATCGGCAACAAAAGGCCAAACGCTGGCCCGTACCCGAATCGTCTTCGATCGACCGCGCGAAGGTCGCGCTTCTTAGGTGCCATGCCACCTCAAATCAAGCAGGACCTAAATCGATCCGGTTGGGAGTCAACAGATTTCCCCTCCGTATGCGAGAACTGCCTGCCAGAGAACCCTTATGTCAAAATGCTCAAGGAGGATTATGGTGCGGAATGCAAATTGGTAAGATGCTTTTCACACCCATTTTCGACATGATTTGCTAAATTTATTTCGCGTCACAGTGCACAAGACCATTCACGGTGTTTAGCTGGAGCGCCGATCGAGCCCACGGCCGGAAGAAACGAACGAATATCTGCCTTACATGCGCACGCTTGAAGAATTGCTGCCAAGCATGTATGCTCGACCTGTCTTTCGGCCTCCCCATCGTCGTTCGCGATGCTGCTCTGAAAATGGTAGCCCCAGGCCCATCCTCCGATATCAACCGCGAATACTTCGCGCAAAACAACGAGCGTGCCATTGAGGAAGGCCGCGCCGGGGTGGAGGAGTATGAGAAGACCGACGACAAGGCCCGAGAGCTTTTAAGGAGGTTAGCTGCCAGCAAGCCTTATTTTCGAAAGGGCCGACCGGTGGATGGCTTGGACGGCGAACCGCAGTTGAGTTCGGCTTCTGCGTCCGGCTCGGGTCCCGGTCCAAGAGAAGGGTTTGGAGGCAACCCCGCCGTGGGCGCTGGAGTTGGTGGCCCTGGACCGATTCGAACTAGAGACTCCAGAGCCGCCGCGGCCATGGGCGCCCGACCCGGCAGAGTTAAGCAGACCTTCCCTAGTGCAGCGCAGCTGCCGCCGGGACCCCAAGACTACATGCCGCCGGCTGATGGGAACATCATGTCTCTTTTCGTGACCGGAGTGGAAGATGACCTGCCTGAGCACAAGATTCGCGATTTCTTCAAAGTCCATGGCAAAATCAAGAGTCTGGTCTGTTCACACATGTCACACTGCGCATTCGTCAACTACGAGACAAGAGAGGCTGCAGAACAGGCAGCGGCGACGTGCCAGGGTCGGGCTGTCATCGCTGGCTGCCCTCTGCGCGTTCGATGGGGCGTTCCCAAGGCTCTTGGCACGATGGACAAGGAGCAGCGAGCCCAGATGCTCATGGATGCTCGCCTGCGACAAGGTCGTTCGCGCGGGGGCGGCCAGCCCGGGCGGAAACAAATCACAGATAGGTCTGGTGCTGGAGACACTGCCCAGCCAGCAGCTTCAGCTGTGGTTGCGCCGCCGCCGGGTGCAGACGATGGCCCTCGATATGCAAGTCTTCAGGGCGATTAGAAAGGGATCATTTTGGCAATGAAGAATTCTATCGGAGTCTGGGAGTCTGCGTTCGGAAACACTTTTGCGGCGGCCTTGGGGATTCAATCGAGGCGGATTTACACCATTAACTAGGGTATCATTGTCTACTTTACAAAATTCCATCCACCCCCTCTATACATGTGAATCATTGTCTCTTAGTTGCAGCCACATCTGCCCGCCTGACTGCCACCGGCCGTCTTAACGGAATCGTTGTCACCACGTTCGGTGTCTTCGTGGATCCGCAGCTCTGAGAGAATGAGAAAGTCAATAATGCGCTGGGAACTGAAAATAGCTTGAGACTCGCATCACGTACTGTATACACGGGCTTCATCTTGCTTCCCCTGGACGATATTTTGTCTAAGGATCTTCGCGATATCCTCGGCTTTCTCAATAGCCTGTCTTAGGGAAGGATCTGAAGGCGCGAGGGAGGCTTGGTCGCGGAAACCCTGGCGGATTTGTTGTCTTGCGGCGGTGAGAACGCGGTCGTCCCCTGTAGTTTCAAACATCAGTGGGTTTCTGTATCTAGCGGGAAGTCCGTTTCCGTACCCTTGAAGGCGATTCTCGCAGCGCGCCAGAGATGTCGATATGCGGGAACGGACATGATGGTTTCCACGTCAATGGGAACGAGGGATCGGCCCGCTTCGGTTAGAAAGTTGTGTTTGCAATAGGTGTTCTGGCTCTTTCGGTGTCAAGGATATCAAGTCTGACTTTCTCCAATTACAAAGGAAACCGCAGGCGAAAGGCACAGATTCTTGATTGTGATACCACAACAACTTCCGTTATCAGTAAGCGTATGAGAAGAAATAAAAGGCTGCTGCTGAAGGCGCTAGGTCCACGCCCGTCCCGTCGGTGCACTGACACCTCACCCCTCCACGTTATTTTTTTTTTTTTTTTTTTTTTTTTTGGAGAGGGGGGAAAAAAAAGAGCCCCACGCTACTGAATTTTCCCTCCAAGCGACGACATCCCATCAACTTCTTCTTCCACGACACCTACGGTTGAGCCCCTCGAGTCTCAAAAATCGACGGAATGGCTTCCGCTTCCATTGTCGCGCATTCTCTTCCGGCCCTCCCCGAGGGCTGGTCGGCTGAGAAGGACTTCAAGGCCGTTGGTTCAGTCTCCGCTGCCACTCAGCGCAGCCTTGAGCCTGTCGGCCCTCACTTCCTGGCTCATGCCCGCCGCGCCCGCCACAAGCGCACTTTCTCCGAGGACGACCGTATCCAGGCTCAAGAGGCCGCTAAAAAGGTTGAGAACGATGACGACAGCGACATTAGCGAGCCGGAGGACCCCATGCTCCTCCAACGCGATGCCAAGGACTGGAAGGTGGGTGGCTTGGCCTACTCGTGGACTCATGCATGTACGGAGTGATCGCTGACATGGTTTACCTCTACAGAATCAAGATCACTACGAAGTTCTCGGCATTACCAAGTACCGCTGGAAGGCTACGGAAGATCAGATCAAGCGCGCCCATCGCAAGAAGGTCCTCAAGCACCACCCTGATAAGAAGGCTGCTGCCGGTGTCGTCGACGACGACAACTTCTTCAAGTGCATTCAGAAGGCCACCGAAGTACTTCTTGACCCTGTCAAGCGTCGCCAGTTCGACTCGGTTGACGAGAAGGCCGATGTGGACCCTCCCACCAAAAAGCAGCTTGCCAAGGGCAACTTCTACAAGCTTTGGGGCAATGTCTTCAAGTCCGAGTCACGTTTCTCTACAACCCAACCTGTTCCCACATTCGGCGATGACAAGTCTACCAAGGACGAAGTCGAGGAGTTTTACAACTTCTGGTACAATTTCGAGAGCTGGAGGACGTTTGAGTACTTGGATGAGGATGTCCCCGATGACAACGAAAACAGAGATCAGAAACGTCACACTGAGCGCAAGAATGCCAACGCCCGCAAGAAGAAGAAGGCTGAGGACAATGCTCGTCTCCGCAAGCTGCTCGACGACTGTTCTGCCGGCGACGAGCGAATTAAGCGTTTCAGACAGGAAGCCAACGCTGCGAAGAACAAGAAGAGACTTGACAAGGAGGCGGCCGAGAAAAAGGCTGTGGAGGATGCGCGCCTGAAGAAGGAGGCTGAAGAGAAGGCGGCCAAGGAGGCCGAGGAGAAGGCCAAGCAGGACCGCGAAGCGTCCAAGAAAGCCAAGGAGGCTGCCAAGAGCGCTCTCAAGAAGAACAAGCGTGCTCTCAAGGGTTCCGTCAAGGAGGCGAACTACTTCGTGCCGGGCGAGGCCTCGCCTGCGACGATCGATAACGTCTTGGGTGACGTTGAACTTGTCCAGGGCAAAATTGATACCGATGAGATTGCAGCCCTGGCCAACAAGCTCAACGGCCTCAAGGTTGCCGATGAGATCAAGAGCGTTTGGAGCGAGGAGGTCAAGAGACTTGTTGGTGCTGGAAAGCTTAAGGATGGGGATGCCAAGACCCTGGCCTAGTAGAATGGCGGGCCGAGGAAGTCATAGAAGAAGATGATGTGACGGGGTATGACCAGTATTAAAACATCTTATGATGGGGGACCGGCGGCGAAAAACACAGTTAGACGAAATAGGGTCGACGAATGATAAGCATCTTTCAGCACACTTGGCCTTGAACGTGGAGCTTTGTTACCGGTGTGTGGAAAGTCAGCGTGGTACATACAGGCTCGTTGTGCTGCGAACCAAGAGCTATAATAGCATCGTTCCTTCCTGTTGGCCTTGAGCTGTAACAAGGGGGGGATTATCCTGGCTGGACTTTCAAATAAAGGAAAAGCAACATTTGGGCTAGGCAGATGGAAGCATAGGAGACTCACACAGCCAGGCATTGTTTTCTTCCTTTTGTTTCCTCAACTCTTTCTTGATTGTCTCTGTTCTCTTTTTTGCCCTTGGCCTTCGTGGTTCCCTTTTGCCTTCCGTCTCATCATCACTCTCACTTGCCATGTTCGCACCTCCCTCGAGAAGTTATGACATATAACGAGGAAGGGAGCTACTGGCGCCTTCCGCAACCTTCAGCTCAGGCCCTCTTCACTTTTCTGCTTCCCAACCTCTCCTACCTTCACCCTTCCCACTGCTTTCACCATTGACAGCTCCCATATTTTCCTCCTATCCAGGTCAACACAACAATAAAACCAACAACAGCACCGCACGATAAAAAAAACCCCCGCCATGGCTCAAAATCAATATGCGGAATTCGACCCCAACTCAGCGCCTCAAGTCGTGGTACACGATGCTCCCGAGGTCATACAGATGGACAACCTCGGAACTGGCAACGACGGCGTCGTTGAACCGGCCCGGGACAAATCAGTAGCCCAACCGCCCCAGGACAATCCAGGAGCCCTAAAGGCCTTCTGCCAAAGCCTGGCCCGTCACAAGAAGATCCTAATCTCCATCGTCGTCTTGCTACTGTTGGCCACTGTCCTTCCTGTCGTCATTATGAAGGCCATTCTGAGGGCACAATGGCCTCCGCCGAATTCTCTGGGCAGCGGAAGCACGCCGACGACTTTCACATCCAAAATTTCGTCCTCCATCCCCCTCCCAACACCCTCCTCTACTCTCGTCCCAGTAAGTCAGCCACCTCTCCTCTGCGGGCCCGCCTATATTGGCTCCGTACTCATGCTATCATCATTCAGTTGCTAATCAGTACGGCAGGCCCCTGAATGCAACTCATCCAAGTTCCTTCGCGACGTTAATTGGATAGGCATCGACAACGGCGTCGGTTGGAACTTTACGTTGACCTCAGCCCAGAGCCCCCAGGACTGTTGCGCCGTTTGTCACCAGAGTGTTCCAGAGGGCTGCAACGGCTGGCTCTACGTCGAAACGAACACGAATACCCCAGCATGCAACATCATACCCGGCTTTTCTGGTCCAAATAAAACCAAGTCTTGTCCTTCAGGACGGCCAAGTCTCGTCTTCAGCAACAACGAAGATTTGCCTCCAGGCCAAGGAGGACTAGGACCCTGTGCCGACGAGGTCCGTAACTGACTGACAGACATGTTGGAGATGAGGCTTACAGCAAGAATGATGGGGAAAGAGGGCTAGTGATATCACTCAGCTTCATCTTGTAGATAGCTGCCCATTTACGAAAAGGTTTTGGGTCTTCGGTGTGAGACAGGGTTTATAGAACACGGATGCTAGGAATAGCCTTTCGAGTAAGCAGTAATGAGAACCATTCCAACTGATCCAAGACGGTGGTGTGACGACAGCTATTCGCATCCGGACCACACAGCACCTCCGGGCGGGTCTTTAGACGTGTGTCCTCCTTGGTATATACCGATCTGGAAATACACGAAGTTTGCATTAGCCGTGCCGGATCCCTTTATCACAACCTGCGCACATTCGACGTAGAATTGAGGGGTATGGGCTTTGTAGAGGGCGAGCAGTTCGTATTTTCTAGGCTTGAGGTTACTGGGTATCTTGTTCGGCCACTTGAGCTGCTTGAGCACGATGGCTGTCCCCCAATTTTTGTTGTCGCGATTACTGTCCGGAGACCCATTTGATCGATCTTGAACCAAGTCTGCTTGTCACCTCTGCAACTCTTGAAATTGCTACCGCAATCACAAAACCAGACCATCACAAGACCCTGAGCATGAGTCCACTGCTTCCAATTAATGTTGGTGCCTGGTTTCAAGGTTCCCGTCAGGTCTGCTGAACTGCCGCCGTTGCAGCGCTTTTTATATCAATGACGTTCATCGTGGGGTTATAGTCGGGCTGTGGTCTTAAAATTAGCCAGTAACACCGCCGGTCTTTCTATGGGGACATAGGTTTTAAATGCCCATTGCCATTAGATCTTCGGCGGAGATGTCGCTGGAGAAAAGCCCTCATACCCTGCCCGGGTAAACCTTTCCATCAATGGTGTAGTTCGTGACTGCACCGTGGCATGAGACAGTGGGTGCCAGCCACAGAAAAGGAACCACGATTTCGACGCGCATGATGGAAGCTATGGTTATACACGACCGGAAGTCACGAGGATAACGATGGTGAGGTTTTCTGCGTTCGAGTGCAAGAACCGCGGAATTCTTTAATAGGCGAGATGCCATTGCTGAGCGATATCACGAGCGACATTTCCCCCTCTTCTTTCATACCGTTTCTGGTGCTTCTTACCGGCTTTTTTATACAATGACCCTTTTACTTGCTGATATATGAAGTTGATATCGAACCAGCCAGTGACCGGCACCGGCAGAAGAGGATGAGTTATGTCGTTCAGACAGAGTATTAATTCATCCCGATCAGCACTCGTGACCTACCTACCCTTGCCATTGTTATCAATTGTTGTTACTTGTATTCGACCGCATCACAAAGCTCTAACACATATTGCGGCCCAGATGACTAACGATGGCAGACCGGTGAGTCGCTGCTAGGAGAAGATATTGAAGGGACGTAGCATTGCCAGCAGGTATCAACCTACTTCAAACCGGGAAGTCTTCGTTACTCGATGCTTGAGCTACCACATGATGATAGAACCACTGAGGCTTGTCTTGAAAAGTGAAGTTCAAAAAGTACGTGTGCCCTTCAACATGGCTGAACCCAGGCTAAGTCGGAGACGAATCACACCTTGTGATACACGGCCGACTCCCTCATATTAGGCTGAAGGGGTTTTGAGGCGGGGAGAAGCCCACTCAATAACATCTTCGTTCGTAAAACCTGCTGCGGGGATGGAAGCCCCTTTCCCACCTCGCGATTAGGTTCGACGCCCAAAAGAATAATGGCCACGATAGTGGATGGACGCATCGCTCACACAGTCGTTAGGTTTTGTCAGGAGCCCACTGAACTGACCTAAAAACGGTAGTACCTTTATGGCAGCAACCCACCTCCTCGACTGTGTACGGGCCAGTCTTTTACTTGTTCTCGGCCACGAACACGGGTGGTTGGAGCATCGCCATGGTTGACTTACACACTTAGAAGCCATCTCCAGCAATATTTACTTGTCGTTACAGGGTTTAGCGCCACCCCGAGATATAATTTCACCGGGAAAAAAATCGATATATTATTGATCAAGAAGTCAAAGTTTCGGTCGCTGTTGAACTTTCCACGCCAGCCCCGAGGCCACAAGGTGTTCCGCAAGCAGCTCAGATGCCCGCTCATCGACTATAAAGATTGTTCACGATCCCAGGTATCTTGCCTCAATTCTTTCACTCAGCACAATCGTCTCATCCCAAGAAAACAATCATCTGATCACCGTCTATCCTCATAGAAATATTTGACCTTTCAACCAAGCCCCGGTAATCTAATCAACATGAAGTTCTCCATCGTCGCCTTTCTTGCCGTTGCCGCCGGCATCGCCACGGCTCAATCATTGAATGATGCCCCTGCTTGCGCGAGGCCTTGCGTTCAAAACGAGTCCAAAATCAGCAAATGTCCCATCATCCCCCCCAAGTGTCTCTGCGCGAAGGCGGATAAGGAACGTCTTGTGAAGTGCATTAGGCAGAATTGCAGCAAGGAAGAAGTGAAGAAGTGCCTTGGACTCGCCGTTCAGGCCTGTCACGAGTAGAGGAACCGGTGTCATTGCTTGGGGGAGGCATCTGAAATCTCGTCATCAGACTGACTGCCTCGCCTTGAAGCCGAGTATGCTGCGACGTCTTGTCTTCCTTAGTCGCACGTTCTCAATGGTACGTATACAATCACTTGAATTAGATGAGAAGCTCATTGGGTTAGTTACAGACAGAGCTGCGGGATATCTGCAGCGCTATGGGGGCTGATCCTAGGGTTATTGATTGAAGGCAAATGGTTCGAGGGATCCAAGAGGCAGACTGGGGGCCGTGGAGGCCGCAGTGGTAAATGCAGACTTCGTCTTGTAGTATTCTTTCCAAAACCAATCGAAACTCTTGCTCCAAGTCCTTATTTCGGGCCCATTCAGTGCCGTGATTGTATTGAAACTTGAATCCAAATACCACAAAGTACTCTTTGCAGAGTTATCGAACCAGCATATGAGGCCGCTTCATAGCCTTAGTGTTCACCTCACGTGTTTATTTACATCACGGGGACAGGGGAATGCATCCGTTGGTGCTTCCTTTCGGTGTTCACCCATCAGCAAAGGGGGATTTTGTCCAATAGGTCGTCATAGAGTTTTCCGACCCAGCCTGTTGTAAGTCCTCCCCTAGCAACGATTCCCAAACCACCAGCGGCCCAGACAACAAAAGCGCCAAAAGTAGCACCGTGAAGGCCCCACCATACCATCCTCCTTCGTTGTCTTGTCTTTTTGTCAATCACTTTTGAGCCGCTGCCGCTCCAGCCCATGGCCGTCGGTGCATACCCCAGCCACTTTGCTGCCCCCCAGACCATGTGACCACACCCTACAAGCAGAAGCCCTGTGTAAGCTAGCCATGACAACGTCGGATGGCGGGTAAAGCCATGTGCGACAAATGCCAGACCAATGTTTGAGCTGTCGCCCTCGACCTGGAGGGGCAGTACACGATTTACGCCAACATGAGCGGCCAGAAATACCGCGAATGCATAGCCTGACGCCGAAATGTAGCTCAAAGGAGGCCATATGCGCGCCGCCGAGCCCGAGCTGTTGTAAGCTGTTGTCCGAGACGTCTTGCCAGTTTGGGCCCGATACAATGCATACATGCCAGGAGTGTTTCCTCCATAGCGGTGTAAGTTCTGGGAACGCCGGGCGAAACGGAGAGCGATGCCAGACGCAACGTGGGCGACAATTGGTAAGGCGACGAGCAGGGGCTCTGTTAGAGAAGTCTGATAAATCTCCCGGGATTGCAGCAGATAAGTCTCAGAAGCAACAACGGAGCGCGCAACCAGGGGAATGATGGAAGTGTTGGCAAGATGTATGGAGGTGAAAATTGGCACCAAGTAAGAGGAAAACTTTTGAATGCGTGTAACTGGACAGAAAAGCGGTTAGCATTCGCGAGATAGCACATGACGACAGGCAGTAAGTTTCGTCAGAAGCAAGGACATACGGTAAAAAATGGTTCCATGTCCACTGCCACTCAAACCTGGGGCAGACGAAGTGGATTTTAACGAGGAAACGCTGTTCTCAAGAGCATCTTCAGGAAGAGGAGGCAAATCCTTGTCGGTATCCGCCGGTGGTGTTTCTATGGGGGAGGGATCTAAATGAAGAAGCGATATCAGGGTCTCTTCGGACGCCTTGGACCGAAGCGATCTTGAATCCATGGCGGCGATGGTAGGGATGCCGCTCGCCAGTTGCCACAGCAAGGCGCAGGCAATGAGGTGCTGGAAGCCAAGAGACGTGGTCGTGGCAGATGCACCGAATGGCGGGCTGCTAGAGGGAACGGGACGAGTCAACTACGAGGTTGTGCAGTGGCCAAGATGTGTAAGAGGTGCCGTGCTGCCCAATTTCGGAACCTCGCGTCCAAGTCACCTTACCCAGACAGTATCGGACCAAAGAAGCTGGAGAGAAAAGAGTAGAAACGTCCCGTCCTGCCTGGCTGACTATTTCTCGGCGCGTCATAGGTTGCAGGGACCCAGGCTGGTGGGGTTGCATGGCTCCATCCGGGGACACTGGAGCCGCATTGCATTTCCACGTCCGGTGCACGGGCAACTTGCAAAGTTGAGTTAGGTAGGTACGTATTTCGTACGGATACCTTAGGTGCCTTACCTTATTAAACGGCCCCCTTCGCACAGCGCTTGGCTTGACGCACTTTGGTCTTAACTTACCTTACCAGCAAACAGCTCCTCAACACATACACCACACGTATTTCAGCCATCGTCTGATCGCACGCAAAAAAAATTCTGCAACGGACTCACTGCCGCCATGCCTCCTGTCAGTGAAGTGCGCGAAGTTCCGAAAATATCGATATAGTCGTGACTAACCCACACCCTCCTGCAGCGACATCAGACATTGCCTCCGGCCCAGACATCTTCTGCGCGCGAAGCTCTTCAATCTTTCTACTGCAGCCTCTGTTCCAAAGGCTACTCCCGCATGAACGACTATGAGGCGCACCTTAGCAGCTATGATCACAGTCATAAACAGCGGCTCAAAGACATGAAAGCCATGGTGCGCGACCCGACTGCCGGAGCCAGAGCTCGCAAGGCCGAGGCCAAGGCTGATGGGCTTGTCAGCATCAAGCTGGCATCGGCCGAGCAACCAACATCAGCAACCACAACGGGGGGTTTCAAAAAAGGGGGGTTCAAGAAGTCAGGCTTTAAGTCGGCTTTCACACCCATCGATACGTCCGCCGTGGCGGGGCAGGACTTTCCAAAGTCAAAATTGGACCAACCTTTTCAGGCACGCAGGCTTGGCCGGGAACAAGACTTTGAGTATGAGAGCCAAACAGATGAAGAAGGCTACCAGCCATACGACCCAAGGCACCCGACGGACTGAACTCTGAAGTGCGCACCACACAAGACTGGCTCCGTACCGGGCCGGCTCTCGTCAACGACCTGTTCCGCATGTGCTGCAAGACCACGCCACGAGACCGGCAACGGGCTTGATTCGTCATCGTCACACGATTTGCCAAAGGTTACCAAGTCTCGAGACATTACCGACAGAGACTGAGAGGGAAAATCTCCGCGCGAAGCGCCATTCTTCTCAGGCTCCGAGAAATTGCACTCAGACACAACGATACACATCCTATGCAGGCCCTACCCTTTGGGTCTCTTTTCTGTTGTGACGGACACATTCTAGTTCCAACTAAGTAAATTGAGATAAGTCCTCCTCGAGTAGCCCCATCATGTACTGGCTTCCCGAGAACCAGTTTCCTAGCTGCGCAGTTTGCATTGTTGGCTGAGAAATGCCGTCGGTTTCGATCCCTTGAATGGGAAATTCGGTCGGTGGGAATCCAAGCGCGCTGAGGTACACATCGAATTCATCATTTATGGGACCTCTCTCCTCCGGTTGCTGCGATTTTGTCTCTACATAGAGAAGCGCCACGTTGTAAAGCATCTGGCAGAGCTGGTGTAGCTTTTCCACCGGTTCTGATAGCGCGCAGGCTGGTCGCAGAGAGGCAACAAAGTCGTTCAGTCGCTTGAGGTCCTCCGCACTGGACGTATCGATCACGTGACAGAAAAGTACGAAGAACGGTGTGAACGGCGTCAGCAGTATCGCCCTAGCGCATGGGGAGGGATGTCAGGAACTCTTGATCACAACAATCGTCTGCGGTCTCATACCAATGGATGTATACGGCTTTTAGATGACGCCCCTCTTCGGCGATTCTTTGCATGCATTCGAGATGCAATTGCATGGCAAAACGAGCTGTCTCGATGCACTCCTGTGAGAACCGGGTCGAGGATCCTTCGGGGGCAGGAAGGGCTCGATATATCAGGGTCAATGTTGACTGAAAGGTGAGCTCGTCGCCACGGAGATGGATGTCTAGAATAGACGATGCATTGAGCGCTTTCAGGCCGAAAAGTGCCTGTTCCCGCACGTGTGAAGCCGCGGCCATGATGCTCTTTTGCTCGGCCTCAAGACGGCGAACTGTTTCCAGGCGCTCCTCTTGAGACTGGCCTAGAGCCAAAGGGCTATACCTAAAGACCGGTCAATTGAATCTCGCGAAGGTCGATTTGGAGAGCTCAACAGTTGTTCATAGACCCGGTGCTGGATCTCGGCTTGTTTGATCCACGTTGTGATAACGACTCCCCACGGATCCGCCACCATCGTGTTGTCCACTCTCCTCGGCAGCGTGACGTCCCAGTCTTGGATCACAGAAGCCCTCCCTGTCCTCAAAGACAAGGTTTTGTCTAGCATGTATACGTGCCAGAACAGCAAGGTTTTGATGTCTCTGGGGCCAGCGCTTTCGCTCCTACTCTGCGAAACGCGGTGGTATCCTAACGTTTGACAGAGACTGGCAGCAGTAGAGGTGAATAACCAAGCGAGAGAGGCTTTCGATACATCGACCGCGTACACAGCCTGTTTATCATGTCATTCTCATATGATCGACAACATGAGACTGCGATGTACGAGGACTCACCGCCACGAGCAGAGCCTCGATGCTTTCCACCTTCGCCGGCAACATTAAGGGCAGATAAGCCAAGGCTGTTTCCAGATTATTTTGACACATGTATTGATACCTCTCAAATTCCTCTCGTGCAGTGGCATCGGAAGCCAGGTATGCCTGCTCCATGAACAAGTAAAAGAGGGCACCATTAACAATGATAAAAGTAGTGTCAGCGAAAGTGTCGGTGCAGAAGTATACCCGACGACAGAGCTCTGCCAAGTCGTCAACATCCAAAAAGGAGCACGCCAATGAGAAGATTCCCGGGGGAGAAGCTATGTGCCACATTAATTATGAATTTCCCGACCACAGTGCGAGCACGGCTGGTTACTTACCTTTCATGTGTTTGAGCAAGGCAACTACCGCATTCATAGGCGGCATGGGTAGATCAGGCAGGCCACCAGGAGGAAGAGGCTGCTGCGAGCGAAATCGGAACTCTTTGGTTGACGAGACCTTGTTCTGCATAGAAACGATCTGACGGAGGGATGAAAGAGCGGCGTGCATATTTGGTGGGACATCTTGAAGTGATGTTCTCTGCACGGCATTTTCGATGAAGTCGCTGGCAAACATGGTGTGGGCCGTTAGTGACAGGTCCCCCTCAAAGGCAGAATCAGAGTCTGCGCCGTCCTGAGTGAGCGCGGAGGCATCCCCTATGGTCGAAGCTGACGGGGTGATGTGCCTCGCCCTGGTTGGGTCCCACGAAGGCGCGCTTCCAGGATTGGTAAGACTCCTCAAAAGCTCCTCAATGTTCGACAGCCGTTCCTCGATCAAGTCGATCTTCTTCTCACTGTAGGTTTCAACGTATCCCGCGTCAGCTTTGGACAACCGGTTTCTTACACACGCGATTCGGAAATATGCCCGGGGAAACCCCTGATTAACAGCGGCATCTCGTGAAGTCTGGATTCGGGACAGGATGACGAAGGGACAGATAAGTGGTAGGGGAGCGGCGTACTATTGAAGGGATATGAGGACGCGATGTCTCTGTTCTTTTGGCTTTTGACCAACGCCGTTTGAGCTGCAAGGGCGTTGAGTTATGCGGCAGTTGGAGCACGGCGAGCTTTTATCACAGCGGATCTGCAACCGAGGCCACAGTAGGCCTATTGTCAGTCGAAACGATACACCGTTCACTCACATAGAATGAAATGATTAAAGGAAGTTTGGGAACTAAGATAGCGGTGAAGGGGTGGCGGTGCAGAACAGCATAGGTGCCCAGAGCTTGGGAGGTTGTATAGAGCAGGCCCGAGAAGCATATGGAACGGGACTACCAACTTTGCGGGTACGACACTGATCACACTGTATGGCGAGAAAATGGATTAGCCTTAGTGAAGCGGACGAGCAAGAAAGATGTAGGGCGACAGAATGGCAATGGTGAGTGGTGTAAACGCGAATGGGTTGTCTGGATGTGGACATACTGCTCGACGGAGGCCCTGGTCATCGGGGCCCGCGGACCGGGAGTCTGACTCCATCCCCAAAGAGATGGCACTGAGCCGCGTTGTGCCGTGTCACTACTGCGATGTCTAGCAGACTTTGATTCCCTCTGCAGCTATGCTGCAGGCTGATGCACTTTGTCTTTGTAGTACGGGCCCTGAGCTGAGCCTGGACGGAGCCGGGTGAGAAGCGCGAGCAAGGAAGGGCGTAAGCGTCGGTAGAGGGGATGGGAGGTGCAGACGAAAGCGCTGGAATAATGGTCCCGGCGGGTAGGAGAGCGAGCGGGCGGGCGAAATGGAAGGGTTATCACTGTGTCGTTGATCAATGGGCGTCACCAGGAGTGCGGACGACTGGGGGCGGTGCGGTGTGGTACGATGCGGTGCGATGTAGTGGGCCCTGCCTGAGGAAGGTCCGAACGAGACCTACCTAGGTAAGGTAGATAGATACCTAGGGTAACTGGGGAACCTACGAGTGAGGAGGCAGGGTTGTGGCGAGTGAAGCAGTCTATACACTAATTATTGAATACCTTAGGTAAGACAACCAACCTATTTTATGATTTACTCCTCACTCTCAATCTCTTACACGCTGCACGGACACCCGCGGGTGCCCGAGGAGTGGACGGCAACTCGCTCAATTCACCACACAATTGCGACTACCGCGCAAGCAACATATGACGCATTGAACCATCGCGGTTTTCTCCCGCTTTGCTTAAGCTTTCGTCCGCGCTTCAAGAGTCGTCGCACCAGCATTACCCGCCGCGCAGCACCAGCCACGCTCTTTTACCAACATCTC